GTGGTACAATGTGTCACTGAAGTTTGTTGAAATATGGCAGAGAGGCTTGACTTTTTAGTTTGTTGAATAAAACTTAGGAAAAGGTCTTATTGAGCAGAGTAGACACAGAACTGCATCAGGGATATAAGGTCTCACTCAGAACAAGTGCTTTCTAACTTTATTACTTTCTCAGGCTGATTACAGAGTGCTCTGATTATTAAATTAGTCGGTGTTACTGAGAATCTGTTCAGGAATATTCAAGCTGAACTCTCACTCTCCTTTATGCTACCTGCCTTTGGACCCAAACATAATTTTAGCCATTCAGTTTCCAAATGACCAAAAGCACAGGCAAACATTTCTTAAAAGCCTTAAATGTGATTACCTACCATTTGACTGTCTTATCACCATTTATACTTAGAGCCCAATTTCCATAAAGCAAGCCATTAAGGTTTTATAGATTTATATAAGTGCAGTCCACAGAGTAAGAGCTTCACACAGTGACCGGATGCTTCGGATATTAGGCTTTATTTGTCCAGTAGTTTCCAAGATTTGACTTCTCACAGAAAAAGCTTAAACCACGCCATGTCTGATTTCATTTGTCCGTCAAGCTCATCTCTTTGTGTACCTCTGTGCCATTTCAAGCACTCGGGCTACACAGATCACTCTGTGGAAATCCCACACTGACCACTTGCATTTGCACTTTGTGTAGACCCCCACATCAGAAGACTTTCAGTCTCATGCTCCCATGCAGCAGAAATGTCATAGCAAGTACGGGGAAGCCCAAGATGCGATTACAAGATCAGTCCACCTAAACTGACCTGATTCACAAAACGCTCTGGCTGTTTAACCGACACCTCCACCCATCATTCTCCAACTACAACTCATTTAAACAGAAGGTTCACCATCAAATTCACAGTAGGGACAGCTAATTTTGCTTCCTAGGTCTATTAATAACTTTAATAAATGTTACTTCAACACTTTGCACTTCCTTAAAAAATGACACAAATACTTTCATTCAACAAACACCAGAATTTCTCAAAAGTAACTCTGCTGTCAGTTTTATTCTTAAATTTTCGTCACATCTCCTTTTCTTTCCGTCTTATACAGACAAATGCCATCAAAACCTCCAAGTACAACTTCTTCACCTTCCTACCTCTCAACTTGTTTGAGCAGTTCCAGAGGATCGCTAATGCTTACTTCCTGTTCCTGCTGGTGCTCCAGGTGAGTTTTAAGCAAACCTGTCTCACTGTTAGTTGCCTGACACATTAATTACGGAGTGTGTATGACACTTTAATCTTTAACTTCTCAAAGAAAACAATGAAGGATACATGAATTAAATTGTTCACTAAAGAAGAAAAAGAAAGACAGAAAGAAAGAATTAAAAATGCAGAAACCCACATAAGGATCTGACGTCCAAAATAAAACTGAAAGAGGGAACAACACCAAACTCCCAGAGACAGCGTGATGCACACAAAGGGGAACAGAATAATTATGCAAAGAATTCAGAGTCCAGGAAACAATACTCAGCCGCACAAATCAACAGAACCGCAGATAACACAAAGACGTGATGTAATGACTTATTCCCGAAAAAGGATTTTGTTCTTAGACTCCAACTCTTCTACCAGTTTGTCCAGGAAACCAAAAAAATTAAAACCTCTGAAACAACTTCTTTACGTCTAATCAGTAACTTGATATATGTTCAGTTTTGCTTTTACTGTCAGAATCACTTCCTAAAACATCAAAGGAATCTTAAAGTATGTCCACGGTTCGCACTGCAGTGATATTTAAGGGTGTGCAGTAATCCAAAAACAGGAAATTGCCTCATTATGTGCTAAACAGTCATGTTGCACAACAGAGGTTGACCATAACAAAGGAACTTAGACACTGCAGTTTAAATTTATTAATAAACAACACTAAAAATCAGTTTTTTCTTAATAAGTGCATCTAAATCCACCAAAGTACACAAAACAGAAAATAGCTTTATTTAGATTTCCCATTGAAACAAAATTTCAATGGGAAGCAGATTTTGGCAACTCAAACACTACTCGGCAAACACAACACACTTGTATAATTAAACAGAATTTAAAAAAAAAAAAATAGCAATAATAGTGTTTAATAAAAAGTTGTCTTGATAAAGTAAGATCCTCTTTTCATATACACACCTTTCTTTTCATTATGTAAGTAAACATACGCCCATGGCTCTTTATTTAAACTCAGGTTGGAATAAAGTAACGTTTTTGTTCTCTGCGTTTTGTGTTCTTCAGGTGATTCCTCAGATTTCCTCGCTGTCCTGGTTCACCACTGTCGTCCCCCTGATCCTCGTGCTGACAGTCACCGCTGCCAAGGATGCAACTGATGATATTGTGAGCACATTTGAAAATGTTTTCTGCTTTTTTAAGGCTAGATGATGAAATGAGATGTGAAAAAACCCACATCTACAACCAAAATAATTCAAGTCCTTTATTTTACTAACAGAAAAATTAGAAACTGATAAAAATTTTACGTTTGTATCCAAATCTTCTAAGTTTGCAATACAAATTTCCCAATTCCCAGTTTACATTTTAAATTCTGCACCCTGCTAAACCTCAAGTACAGATATGTTATCAGTTGTTATAATCATTCTCATAAACTTAGAACTGATTCATTTCTAACTGTCACAGTTACTTATTGTCAGTAGATTAGACATGCGACCCTCCCTTCTCCAGACAGCTAACAGCGAGTGGCTAAACAAAGACAACAGCTGGTTATAAGCTAACTTTTGGCAGCAAATGCTAGACTGAAGCGTCCTAAAAATCACACTTTCCCTCTGAGTCCAACAATGTTAGATCCACTTCAAAGAGAGTTTCACTAAAGCCGTCTAACAGCAGCTAGCAGAGGCTGAGCGCAACACTTACCGAAAATAAAGCTTACGAAAT